GGTCCTGAGCTGGTCCATAACACAGGACTCTGTGCTGTATGGGCTGTTCCCCGGGATGCACACTGAGACAAATTTTGATTGTGCTTGCATGCCCGTAAACAAAGACACTGTTTGGTCTGCCTGAAACTTGTCTTCCAGCGTAAAGAGTTGGCTCCGACTGAGTGTTGCAAACTGGCAGATTCCAAGGCCCAGGACCATCTGCTCAGGGACACTCTAAAGCTTGGGGCAGCTGCCGCTAAGTTGCAGTGGGGAAAGAAAACTATCTAAAATCATTCTGTCCAAGTACAATGAGGATCTGTTCAGTTATCAGACCCTCTCTTTGCCCTAAAATATATGTAAACTGTATCCTATATGGTCGGAAATGCCTTTGGCTTTGAAACTGCAGGGAATGTTGATTTCCAACATTTGTTTTACTTTATATGCAAAGATGGACAGAAGTGTTTTAGTACTTGTGTGTACATAAAGATAACTTTTTTGATGAATAAAGTATATTTTTGCAATGAAAATGTGTGCTGACATGCAAGTACAGTGCTTTTGAGGTATTGTCTTTTAGATGTGATGTTTAACTGATGTCCTGTACACATTCTTAGGTGGACAGAAAAAAATCCCATGATTTTGAAGAAGGGCATAAGATATACCTGTAGCATCCTGACCAAAGTTTATCCCTTATTCACCATCACAAAAACAGGTCTTCTGGTCATTTTCACATTCATGTTTATACACGCAAATTGGCTCCTATGTTTCCTGAATTACGATAATGACACATGAAAAATTACGTCATTGGCTGGAAGCACTTTAGAACATATTGAAAATTGTAACATAAATGTAAGTCTTTCTTTTTTTCAACATCTGACTTCAATGTACCTCAATTCTAACATCTCCCTTTTAATTAAGTAAACTTACTTATTTTGTAATTGGGCAACTTTAAAAGTATAAATTTTCTGCACAGTGTGACAGCAAAAGAAGCCACCAGTTGAACCAAGCCATATAATGTGTGCTTTCATGCAAGTTAGTGAAAAATCTTTGCTGAACAGCCAAGCACAGTTATTTATTCTAAATCTTTGTACAGAATACAATGAGATCTTTCACTTATAATTCATCGAAAGTATTAAGAAATAATGTTTTAACCAAGACAACAGGCAATGTACTCTTGTTTAAACATCGGAATCATTTTAATCTCTTTCTATAAAGCAGCTCCTTACTGTATATTGAATTAGATTACCAGGTTCTTTATGTGAAGGGAAGAAAACTGGTCATTGAAATAGAAGATCAACATGACAATTAATGGCCTATTTCCTCAGACTGCAGAATAAGAATATTATATGTATCAAGGTCTGTTTAAACAGAGCTTTTATAGATGCTGAATGTAAACTGCAGTAGCAGAATCTCATATTAGAGGTTGAAGTAGACAGCTCCTATCACACAAATTCAAAGAAGGAGTAGGGCATCTGGCCCATCAATTCTGTTCTATTCTGCCATTCAATAACGTCACACCAAACATCTATACTAACTGCACTTCCCTGCCGTATCCCCATATCTCTCAAGTCCCACTGCGCTAAAAAAAATCTATCCGACTCCATTTTGAATATGCCCATTGACTAAGCATTAACAATCCTCCAGGGTCAAAAGATTTACAATTCTCTGAGTGAAGAAATTTTTCTCTGTCCTATTTGGCATATGCCTTATTGGGAGTCTATGTCTCCTAATTCCAGACTGCATAGCTAGAAGAAACGGGCTGTTGAGCAGCTATCATGTCAAGTATTAAACATTGCTATGTGACCTCTCTTCTAAGCCCTGGGGAATACAGGTGTGTTCTGTTCAATCTCTCTTCATCCTGGTGTACAAAACTCTAGCTTACCCCAATTCAGAGTGAAGGCTGACAAGTCCAATTCCTTAGGAAGGGTCACCCAAACCGAAATGTTAACTGTTGATTTCTCTCCACAGATGCTGCCAGTCCTGATGAGCTTTTCCAGCAATTTCTGTGGTTGTTGTTGTTTCATGTGGTGTATGTGTGTGTGTGTGAGTGTGTATGTGTGTGTGTGTGCGTGTGAGTGTGTATGAGTGTGTGTGTGTGAGTATGAGTGTGTGTGTGTGTGAGAGTATGAGTGTGTGTGTGTGTGTGAGTATGAGTGTGTGAGTGTATGAGAGTGTGTGTGTGTGTGTGTGTGTGAGTGTATGAGAGTGTGTGTGTGAG